CCTGACTGTCTATATCTTCCTATGGAGACGTTAAGAAATGTTTTACAACTTTTCACACACACACGCATGCACACTTTGTTTAATGTAGACCAATATTTGTAAGTCCGAGGTCAAATTTTGATCATAGCTCATACAATTTTGTTTATTATACTTGTTAATACTTGTTTTATGAATCATGATTGGACAAAGATTTAAAAACAAAAGATGTGCCTTTTATATATAAAACCTCTGTTATGTTAATTTTGATTAATTTCCCTGAAGAAGTTCGGACCAGATTGCCGAACGAAACGTTGGAATTACTCATTTCAATATCGCTGAGATATTACAAATATAAATTTTTTACAAATGTCTACTTCTCACTCGGCGCCCAAATATTTTAGAACTATTCTGTCAAAATCTTGACGACAGTTCATTTGAATTAATTGCCTCTACTGATTATTTTGAATGCCTTCAGATTGTCTACAACCATGGCCGTCAGTGCCTAGCAGATGGCGCGCAATCGCACTCTTTAATGCTTATGCTATGGGCCTTTTAGTCTCAGGTTTTATGGTATATGTTCAGAGATGCAGACAATAGCTTTTTTCTCTATCCTTCTAAATTCTTACTTTTACTACCTTCGCATGGCTGGGGTTGTTTCTTTTTAAAAGCTCAAGGGCGAATGCGAACGTCTCGCTCTTACAACCGGACTGACTGGTAGATATGCTGGTGTCTACCTTGGAAAGTCGGAAAACCCTGGTGCCCAAACCCAAGGTGTTCATAGGCTCTAGAATCCGAAAGGATCAATCAATTAGCGTGTGAGAATGTATTTTGGTCAACGGAAATCATGGAGATGTTGGTCGTGACGCCGCTGCTCTGTTGCCTTCTGGATCGAACTTCAAGTCGAAGTTTCGGGTGTGTATGACCCTTTAAGACAATTAGCTGCTGCTTCGTTCTGGGCGTTCGCGGGGGGGGGGTCTTCCTGTAAACTGTCAAATTTTGTGGAGCTCACCTCTAGGTGCTGATGACATGCTAAGTGTGCATTCTTAATAAATATAGAAAAAATCCGCATTTAGACATTTAGAAAACAGAAAGATTGAGCAGCGAAGAAATATTTACACTTTTCAATTAGATCCTCCCTCATCTCACTCTGGCTCTACTCTACTCTACTGCACTCTAATATACACGTGTACACGCATTTTTATTACAATACACAACAACAACAACAACAATTTACCAATCATCATCAAGTGGCACTGATATGTTTGTTTGTTTGTTAACAATAATTAGTCAGTCAGTGTCAACATGTCAGCAGGCGGCAAGGGGTGATAATTAACGAAGGAAATTAGCATACACACACACAATCAGAAAGGTAGAAATGGTCACATACAACACGTGGATTGATTGCATAATGCATAATTTGGGAAAAATGAAGAGTAATTAATTAATTTTAACGATGCCCATTCAGCAATAAACTTTACCATAGAGAGAAAGAAATTAATGACAGTATCTCATTCCTAGACGTCTTCATGGCAAGGAAAGAACATAGCACACTAAGAAGGAGTGTGTATAGGAAACCTACAACAATAGATCAGTACACTCATTTTTTGAGTTTTGTACCTTTGAAATATAAACACGTAACCTGGTAAAGTGTCTGGTTCATACAGCTAGGTTAATCTGTTCAGACGACTGCCTCAATGAGGAGCTTAATATTATTAGAGAATTACTTAGGAAAAATGGTTATCCAGACAAGTTCATTGGGGAAAATATGAATTCAGCACCAAGGAGAGTCAGTATGACGACAGTTCCGAAAAAACCATTGTTCATAAAACTGCAGTTCCTCAGTGACAAAATCAGCGGTACGTACGGTACGTTGTTTCTTCACAACCACCCCTATTCTACTTTCGAGAAATAAGGATAAACTACCTAAATTGGCCTCCGCCTCTGTGTATATCTACCAGTTTGACTGCACCTGCGGAGCCAGCTACATCGACGGGGGTAAAATTAAGCAGGTTCATCATCGTATTTCCGAACATCATCCTGCAGCATGGTTAAACGGCAAGGGAAGAACAAGATCTATTCGTAGTTCTATTTTAGCACACCTTGTTGATACTGAGCAGAAGGTTGATGTGAATACTGCATTTAAAATTATTCATCGCATTCCTACTAACCTTAATTTCGCTTTACGAGTTCGTCTTCTACATACGACATCTGAAGCAATAGGAATCCACCTGAAGAAGCCAACATACCTGTGTGTGTTCAGAAGAAATTTGTACAGCCACTTTCCTTACCCTGGCCATCGTTACATGAGTGTCTAAACCGGACTATTTCGCCCCCTCCCCCTAAAACTTTAAAAATTATAAAAATTATAATTGTCCAAATTATTTTACGTTTTTTTCTGACTGCTTCATCCTTACAGGATTTTCATCACGAGCTGACATTAGTTAGAGAAACATTGGAAAACAAGCTGGGAGTACTGGACAGCTGTTTCGTCCTAGTTTGGGACCGGCTATTCAGCAGTACGCACCCACCCCACTGGAGTTCGAACCCAGGACCGCCTGGTTACAAAGCGAGAGAGCTAGCTCGTAGACCACTAAGCCACTGAGACCAATGGCCGGTGCATGAATTCTAACTTCTGCCAATTCACGACACTAGCAAATGTCTTCGGCGAGTATTTGTCCTTACACCCGACCTGCTGCACCCTACTGGTCACGACTTCTCACTAGAACCCCAGGTAACTACCTACCTGAATAGGACAAGTCGCTAGTGTGCGTGGGTTTGTTTCTGTCTGTCTATTTTCGACATGGAACTTTGCACCGATGTGCACCAGTTCAAGTCGCCACACTCCCTCCATGTAGCACACAAAGGAAGAGAAGAAAGTAGAATAAATGCATAATGGAGAGACAGTAAACAGAGGTGCGGTGAGACAAAGGAATAGTAATAACAAAGAACACAATATAGTTTCATTTGAAATTATAAATTACAAGGAGTGGATGCATCTACGCCAGCCAGCCAGCCATTGAGAACGATCATTTTGAGCCATATCATCACCAATTGTTTCCAGCCTTCATTGGTTTTTACCGTCATCCCGAGGACCCCAACCACTCAGGAAGCCAGTCTACACCTTCCTACGTGGCCTAGACTAACTGTTGTAGATTTCATTGACTGGTGAAGTCATGTTTCGCTTGACCACGCTAGCTCTTTTCCAGCCTGACCCTATATCAGCTAACATTGCCCATTGTCGAGGAAGGCGATGACTAGGCATGCATGCGTAACACATGTCCTAACCATCTCAATCAGTGTAACTGCTTCACAGCCTCGTCGATTGATTTCCCCTCCTACTTACCTAGCACTCGACCGACACCTAACCTCAATATTGGTCACCTCATTATACCACTTCACACAGGAGATAGAACACAGACAGGCACCTATGATCAAAGACAGCTAGTCTTTTCATGTCTTCCGCTCTCAATGGCCATGTCTCATCTATGAAATGGGTTTTTTTCGTATTCATCAGCGGCATATATATATGTATATAGCATGGTGTAATTCCTACCTGATGTAATATTCGAAGATCTCGGGGAAAATATTGATTTGGTTGATTATCATTCTCATGGTCAATCATATGTTACTTTCATCTGACCATTATTTACTATTATTATTATTATAGGGTCCCAGTGGCTTAACGGTATACGAGCTCACCATGTAACCAGAAGGTCCTGGGTTCGAACCCTGGCGGTGGGTTCGTACTGATGAAGAGTCCCAAACTAGGACGAAACAGCTGTCCAGTACTCCCAGGTTTCTTCGCGTCGGTGGCATAGCGGTTAGGACGCTCGCCGACCATGCACATGGTCCGGGGTTCGATCCCCGGCCGACGCACTCCTTTACCTCGCTAAGCCAGAAATAATGCTGGTAAAGAGGAAAGGTTGAGCATGAGGCTAGCAACCCTATCCTGTAAAATAAACACTGCTACAGAAACTTCAAGCCACTAGCTTGAAGCCCTATGTTCCACTGGGAACGTGAAGGAAAAAATTATTAATAATATTATTATTCAAGTGTTGGTTTGTAGGGATTTGATTGATTGGTTACAGGATTCCATCATGAGCTGACATTAGTTAGAGAACCATTGGAAAACAAGCTGGGAGTACTGGACAGCTGTTTCGTCAGCCTATTTTGGGGCTATTCATCAGTACGCACCCACCGCCAGGGTTCGAACTCATCACTTTCTGGTTACAAGGCGAGAGAGCTATCTCGTAGACCACTAAGCCATTGAGAGCCGATCCAATGACCAGCCAGTCTATGAATTCTAACTTCTGCCAGTTCACGCACGACATAGCGCGACTGGCACTAGCCAATGTTTTCGGCGAGTATTTGTCCTCACCCCCGACCTGCTGCACCCTACTGGTCATGACTTCTCACCAGAACCCACCCAGGTAACTACCTACCTGAATAGGGCCAGTCGCCAGTGAGCGGCATCTCATTGATATTCAAGTATTGGTTTGTAGGGATTCGGTTAATTGGTTACAGGCTAGCCGCTGCGCTATATCATGAATTGGCAGAATTTAGAATTCATGGGCTGGCCATTGGTTCGGGTCCTGGTGGCTCAACGGTCTACGAGCTAGCTCTTCTTGTAACCAGAAGGTCTTTGGTTCGAACCTCCTGTGGTGGGTGCGTACTGCTGAAGAGTCCCAAACTAGGCTGACGAAACAGCTGTCCAGTACTCCCAGCTTGTTTTCCAATGGTTCTCTAACCAATGTCAGCTCATGATGAAATCCTGTAACCAACTATTATTATTATTATTCGGAGATATTGTGTTCTCTTTCAATTCGTCATGTCCCGGGATATTGTAGTTTTAGTAATAATTAAACATTAAACTATTGCTGCATACAGACAGTAATTTACAAAGAACTTTGATTATATCCACGGTGGTAGGGTATGCCACGGTATCTAATTAACTAATGATAATCGTTGTTTTTTTGTCTAAACATCACTTTCAAATATTTTTTTTCTGCATTTTTTTATAGTGTATAGACAACTATATCGGATCTGGCAAGCACAAGACAGACCTTTCTATACGGAATGATTCTAAACGGTTAATCCGACCTACGACGCCTCCGTATTCCTCAGATGTAGAAGATGAGTCGACGGTTCCACAGACTTACGAGAGAAAATCTTACTGGCCTGAAAGGAATAGACCACCAACAGCTAAAACAAATTCAAGGCACTTGGAATCTCGGGTCAGTTGATCTCTTGTCAAATTATTTAACCCTGATGTATCTAAGATGGGCAAAGTTAAACTTTCGACACCAGTAACAACCAATCAGCAAACGACCTTGAACAGACCAATCACATGAAAGAGACGTTTATGATAAGCGGAAAGGTATATTTGTAGAAAAATGCATAAAAAAAACTGATAATGCGTATCTTTCCCGAACATGGGAGAGAAACATTTCCCAGTTCAGCAAGGGACTGTCAATAGAGAAGTCGCACCACATTCTATACATATATTCATCTAAATGACTATAAATGAGATCCTTTCGAGATCCATTTATAGCCCTTATTCTATTTTTCAATCGACCCCAAAATACTTCAATGGAATTTGTATGAGTCCCTGTAACTGGATCCACGGAATCACTGGAGTGGTTCACTCTGTGATGAATGTATCCTAGGGATGACAATGAATCATAGCCTTTCCACTGCTCTCCGTCTTGGCAGCAGCGGCTCTCACGGGCTGTTTCAGTACCCAGTAATTGCAAATGTACAAAATCTGGGTTAGGGAGAGATGCGACCTAGCAAAAAAATTTCTTACGAAATATTACCCTCTAATACTAACTCGCTTCCAACAACGATGTACAAAACCATCAGTTGACCTAGTATAGCTTTTTAGATTCATTATACCACCACACGAACAACTTCTCTTTCCCTTTAGAAGCAAGCCTAAGTCCAGGCAATACTGAAAGACACTATCCTCCTTAAATTGCAAACGCAACCTTGTAAGGGCACGCATTGAAATGAACCAAGTACTATAAAACATTGAACCACGTTCGTGAATCTCATTGGATAATTCGACGTCGTTCGCTGATTGGTAGTTATTGGTGTCTAAAGTTTAACTTGGCCCTAAGATGATTACCAATCATTATGTGCTCTTTTCACTGCGCTTTTTTAAAGTGGTCTTTTGTATTACATAGTTGGAGGCAATCGGCAGGAAGCCTTGACTGACCTAGATTTCGTGCTAGCTGGCACTCACCAGTCATCAAGGCGTATATGCAACCATATTGAAGGAACTCATGTCCCTTCTGAGGAGATTAAAACCCGCGTCACCCAATGTTGCAATCAATGGCGGTGACATCGCAAACTTGACTGATAAAATTCAGTCAGCACCAAAGAAAGGACCAGACACATCACACTAGTTACTAGTGTCCAATTAAAGTATCCACTACAGTCCAACAGGAGGTCAATCGCCAGCCTGAATAGCTCAGTGATAACGTCTGTGACTGCATTTGCCACTGGATGACGCGGAACATGAGCTGTTTCTTCAATGTAGTTGCAGATACGCCTTGCTGACTGAAGAGTGCCAATTAGCACGAAACCTAGATCCAAGACTTCCTCTGGCCGATTGCCTCCAACTACCTATCAATGTGCACCGTGATGGTGAGCTACCTAGTGGCATGATGGCCACATTGCGAACCTGACTGACTGACTGATAGAATTCAGTCTGCACCAAAAAAAAGGACTAGCCAGACACGTCACACTAGTTACTAGTGGTCTGTTGTCTCTGTCTAAGGTCTACAACGCCAAATGAACCGGTTGGTTCATTCAGTTCTTTCAACTGTCTATTAAGTGCCTAGATAGATAGTCTAGGGAAGTATCTCAATGCCTTTAAATTTATATTTATATAAATACAAACTTAGCAACAGTTTGGACACCAAGAGATGCGCCGCACAAAAATAATAAAACAGTGGGTGCGTACTGCCGATGATTCCCAAACTGGGCTGATGAAACAGCTGTCCAGTACTCCCTGTGGCTGGTTTTCAGTGGTTCTCTAACTGATATATCAATCCGTGATCAACTCGTAAAAATAAAACACAGCGGTATTGACGCTCGCCGACCATGCACATAGTCCGGGGTTCGATCCCCGGCCGGCCACGGACGCACTCCTTTACCTTGCTTAGCCAATAATTGAACTGACATAGAGGGAAGGTTGGGCATGAGGCTAGCAACCCATCCTGTAAAAGTAACCACCACTGCTACAGAAACTTGCAGCCTCTAGCTTGAAGCCACCCTATGTTCCACTGGGCACGTGAAGGAATAAGAAAAAAATTTGAAAGAGCAGTAAAATGTGGTTGATGGCAAGTAAACATACTTATCAGGAACATTTAAGGAGCGTGAGAATGAGGGGCAAGGAGGAAGGAAATTGCAGTATGCATGTCACTGATCTTAATTTCCAGCCATATCTGATGACATCTTGGCTGGGTTGCTGAGTCGTCGGGTTATCTGTTGGAACGCACACAGGAAGTAGCTGTGATGCACCACCAACAGATGCCAACCGAACACAATTACGTCCATATCTCCTTTATACAACGTTCACGCATACTGTACAGCTCTTGACGTATGCTGAATCACAGAGAACCGCATTCAAAATCACAGTGCAGTGCTTTGAATATTTCCCTATCTGAAAAATGCCGATTAGCGTGTCCCTCGTGCGCGCTAATCCAGGCGCCTCGCGTATCATTGGCATTCGGCCTAGCTGGTGTCGATGTTGTACTAAGCAATAATAATGACAAGGCTGCAATAGTCGATTGCACACCTCCTATTGAAGGTCGTCTGTTAGAGCGGTTAATACTATTGTAAGAAGGCACCTACCAGAAAAAAAAGAGTTATTCCTTTGTCGTCGTCTCTGTCTATACACCGACAGATTGTATATCAGATGCGATGCAGCTAAGGATAAGTTCTACCATCAATTGAGGAAGCATCTCAAGAATGGAACTCCAACATAGTCATGAATGCATACGTGTAAGGCTTCTAAGTACAGAGAACTAGATGGTCGCAGGTCAGATAATGTGAGGACCATCTTTTTGTAAAAATTTTTCTCATACCCAGACTATAACCTATTTTAGTTTTCTTTAACGTACGTCCCGCACATGTCTCGTAGTAGTTCTACAAACAGGATTGCAAATTCGATCCGAAGCATTGGTATATGGATTCTGATTATGGCTTTAGTATGTGCAAATTTGGAATGGCAGTCACCTCTCTATCTCACTCAACTTCATCGACTTTTACTGAAAAGGCTTTCGACAGCGCAGCGTCGACCGAGGGGTGATTTGGCAACTACTTCGCTACTACCACAGGGTGCCGCCGACAATTATATACATCTCATCCAACAGTTAGTTGTACGACAATGCTGCATGCCGCCAAGTAATCCACAATGGGAAACTTACGGAATCCTTCGAAGAAGTAAAGACGGGAGTAAGACAAGGCTGGCTGGCTGGCTGTCTACTATTTCCAGTGATTTTCCTGATTGCGGGAGATTGGATAATGCGACAGAGAGCGACGGGCAGCGAGGAAACAGGAATAAAATGGACCTTCAAAAAACTTGGGGGATGTGGACTTCGCCGATGATATATGTCTGATATCCCACAAACTGCTGGAAGAGATATGCAAGTGGAAAGCAACAAGTTGGCTGAAGAAGCATCAAAGATAGGACTCCAAGTAAACGTAGAGAAAACAGAAGTGATGAAGATTCCTGAGCAACAACAACAGACAACAATCAGTCAGTATGAATGGGAGGAACCTGAAAGAAACAACCTCCTTCACCTACCCACCTACCTGGGAAGCATCGTTTCAACTACAGGAGGACTGAACTGACGAGGATATCGAAGCAGCAAGGATCAGGAAAGCAAGACAAGCTTTCATTACTCTCAAGTTTGTGTGGAGGTCAACAGCACTCAGCATCCAGCATGAAAAATAAGATCCGGATTTTCAACTCCAATGTGAAGTCAGTGCTGCTACGGATCAGAGACTTGGCCAGCGCATCATAAAAAGCACCTCAAACAAACTACAGACCTTGATCAACAGCTGCCTTCGCTCAATACTACTCAAGATCAGATGGCCGGTCAGAAAAAATCAGCAACAGGGATCTCTGGGAGCAAACCAACCAGGAAGCAATTGTGAAACAAATAGACAGGAAGAAATGGAGATGGATTGGTCATACTCTGAGGAAACCATCAAGTGACATCACTAGACAAGCCATTGCTCGAGTAGAACCTGAAAGGGAAGCGGCGAGTTGGTCGTCAGTGTGAGGGTGACATGGAGTGGAGGAGGTCATGTGAAGAGGAGATATAAGCATGTGGGCAGACATGGAGCCACGTGAAGACTCTAGCAGAGAACCGAACGCAATGGAGACGTGCGCGGCTGAAGAAGCCGTATGTTCCTCTAGGAATTAAAGGATACAATAATAATATTGATAATATAATAATAATTACTGTTATTGTTTTTCCATTTCAGCCTATGGATGATGGTACATGTCGCGATGCAAATGCCTATCATGGCTCGCGTAAACACTATCTGCACAATTCCCGTCAAGTGTCGTATAAACACCATGAGAATGATAGAGTGGATGACGGTGGAATGATACCATCATCAGTGAATTCTTCTTCTTCTTCTTTATCCGAACGTAATCACCATCGTAATGATGATCAAAATCGCCTATTGAAAGAAAATCTGAATCGATTGAATTCAGACTATGAAGGTGGTGGTTATGCTGATGATGAGGATGACTGGAATGCCTCATCTGGCCAACGATGTCGTAAATACAGTCGGTAGGTGTTTTTCTTTTTTTTTTTATCTCGAAATTATTCCCCATTCCTATTCAACTTCATCATAGACGTACTAATGGACTTTACCCCTTACACACTTCAGCGACTCAGGGATTGACTTGCTACCAGGGAATAATCTCGTCGACTTAGAATATGCATGCGGACGATATAGTCCTTCTAGGCGAGGACGCTGACAAATTCCAGCAGAGTCTACTAAACACCTTGAGCAACAATCTTCGTATGTTTGGCATGCGATTCGCCCCTGTAAAATGTAAGATGATGCTGCAGGATTGGACTTCACCGACCCCTAGATTAGAAATAGGAAGTGAAGTGGTAGAGCACGTTGACAGCTTCACTTACTTGGGAATTACCATCACAGCCAACGCCAGCGGGTTGATCTCCGACGAAATCTCAGCACGAATACAGAGGGCTAGTTTCTCACATGCCAGTTTACGCCGTCTCTGGCTTAGTAGACGTGTTATCCGACTATCGACCAAAAGGCGTGTTTACCGCTCAACAGTCCGCTCCGTCCTCCTTTATGGCTGTGAGACCTGGCCATTGAGAGTGGGAGACATGAAAAGGGTGGCTAGCTGTCTTCTATCATAGGTGTCTGCGTTCTGTCTCCCGTGTTAGTTGGTGGTATAATACGGTGAGCAATATTGAGGTTAGGTGTCGGTCGAGTGCTAGGTAAGGAGGGGAAATCAGTAGACGAGACTGTGAAGCAGTTATACCGACTAAGATGGTTAGGACATGTGTCACGCATGCATGACTAGTCATCGCCTTCCTCAACAATGGCCAGTGTTAGCTGACATAGGATTGGTCAGGCTGGAGAAGCGCTGGTGGTGGTCTAACCAAAACATGGCTTCATCAGTCAATGAAATCCACAACAGTTAGTTTAAGTCACCTAGGAAGGTGTAGACTTCTTGACTAGTTGGAGTCCTCGGGACGGTAAAAACCAGTGAAGGTTGGAAACAATTACTGATGATATGGCTCAAACTCATCGTTCTCAATGGCTGGCTATCGCGGATGCATCCACTCCTTGTGATTTACGATTTCCAATGAAACTATATTGTTCTTCGTTATTACTATTCCTTTGTCTCACCACACCTCTGTTTACTGTCTCGCTCTCTATTATGCATTTCTCCTACTTTCTTCGCTTGCTTTGTGTGCTACATGGAGTTGAGGGAGTGTGGCGACTTGAACTGGTGCACATCGGTGCAAAGTTCTATGTCGAAAACCGACCGATTCGACAGGTAAATTGATATCGTAGTGGAAAATCGAGAAGAAAAAAAAGTAAAGTAGATTGCCAATCTATGTGGAATAACTCCATAGTGTTAAAAGAAAGAAAGAAATCTGCGAAGATTGTTGGCAAAGTTCTACAATAGAGTCCCAAGAAATGCGAACGCACGAATGACCTTGAGTCGACCAATCAAGAAAAATGACGATTTTTGCATAAAATTTTACGTATATTTACATAAAAATGCATAAGAAAACATTAAACAGGATATTTTTCTCTAATATGAAATAAAAAATCTCCCAATTTTGTAGAGTGGTTTCAGTTCTTAAATTGAACCAATTTCTATACATATATGCATCTAGGTGACTGAAAACAACTTCGTTTTGAGATCCGTTGATCGCTCTGATTCTATTTTCCAGTCTTCCCCAGAAGCCTTCGATTGAATTGGTATGAGTACCGGTCCTGGGGTCGACGAAGTCATCGGAATGGTTGACTCGATGGTGTTGTATATAACCCAGTTGCGATAATCAGTTGTATCCTGCCCATTCATCTGTGTGACTGGTGGTGCCTGGTAAGACAAGACGCTGAATAATAGGGAGGAGTGTATCAGCACTCCTATCTGGAATCAGCTCGATAAACCCTTTGCGAATCTGGGTGTCATAAATTCCTAAAACCCAAACGTTATTCGCTCTGGCACGCCGCCGATTGTACTTCTTCTTGATAAGAACGATTTCATCGATATGGACGACTACACCGACTCCTCCCAACACCTGAGTAAAACTATTCATCTTCCACGAGGCTAAATCTCGACAAAATTGAAACCACTGCACAGGTGACGTCAACGTAGTAGCTGTTTGAGCCGTAGTAGATCGCACCCCGGACTTTAAAACTCAGTAATTGGACAGAAACAAGATATTCGTCAAAGACAGTTTCGACTTTTCGAGGGAAAGTTCCTAGAAAACAATTAATTCAGAGTGTCACTTACCAGTACTCACACTTATTCGCTTCCTACTCTGTGTACATCTGAATACATATCCATCAGTGACCTGGGTATATGACTGGAGGTTCATGGAAGCACCACAACCGCATATCCGAGTACGTCCTATCAATCCATTATCTAGGCAGTACTGGAAAACGTGATCTGGATGGGATTTGCATCTGAGCTCATGAACAGGTTTCATTTTAGCGCTAGAATAATGGTAAGCTTCCTAGACCAATGACTAGCATGCGTTCAGGGTCATTGGAACATTTAAAATCCTGGGACTCTATTCTTGTACTTCTCCAAATTGTCCCCAATGGAAAACCACCCATGGCAATACCGTCGATTTATCTGTAATAAAGTCTGTTGAATATGAAGTGTGCATTCATTCATAGTACACCGTCAAAGCAACTGTTTCAGACTAGTAACTGGAATTTAGATGTCGAACTGTTTTTCTTTTTGCTAGTATCTGTTGGTATAAATATGAATTCCACAGTCTCCTTAAGTAGTAGTACATTGGTGAAGAGTGATGCAACATCCAAGCATAGCATTTGCTTCCCATTTACATTAATATCATGTACGTTAGCAATGAATTTGAAAACGTATTTAACACTCTGATTTACCACATTCTTGTGTAACGGTTGGGGGAGTTCACCTAGCCAGCCACTTAGCCACTCCATCGTGGTAGGTGGTGGAATTAGACGTCTCTAGGACTGGGCGAACAGGACGTCGTATTATTTTTATTATTTTATTCGCAAAATCACCGTCATTGGTTAAAACTTTTACATTATAAATCTATGTAAATTAGGGTGTGGCCTGCAGAAGAACTAATTGATAGCAACAATATTGTTCGCTTATATATGTCTTGTTCTAATATTTTTATACATTAATTATGACTATAATTGAGCCATATGGTCATCTCTCCAGGATCTTTTAGAACATTCTATATCTGTACAGATTTGAAGATAAGCTCCCGGAAAAGAAAAGGATATTTTCTACTATCTTATGTCTTTGATATGAGTTTAAAACTTGAGCACTGTGTTGGTAGGGTATAACTACTCCATTGTGGATAAGATTTTATTTTGATAAACTGTCACACAGTGTAGTGTTATACTGTAATATTAACTGATGACCACGTTTCGGGCACAAACTATTGCCACTCATAAACATATCAAGTTACTCACTCACTCACTCACACAACTTTTTTCCTTCATTTATATACATCAGTGGAATTCACGATTAGATATTGGAATAAAAATCAATATGGGATAATGTACATTCAGAAATAATAATAATATGAGTGTTAACAATCAAACACAATCAGATGGGAAATATGATGAGTGTTTTTATAGTCATAATAAGTAACTTGTTAGAATGTTGTGATGTGCTTGAATTGAATTGAAATAGAATGCAATTTAAGATTATTTATTATCCTCCTCTGATTTCACTGACTGACTGACTGGTGGTAATAATATCTTCCACACATATCTCTGGTATTTGCATTGAGTCATTTCTGTTGCATGTGTTGTGTTGGGTGTAGAGTCGATGAACCAGTCAGGATTCAGTAATCAACTTCTCTCTCTCTCCACCTACATAGATTACTTTTTAGAATTTTAACCCTCTCCCACCATGCATTTGTGTGGTTGTGTGTTTTAGCATGTAGTGCAATCGCTGAGCTTTTTTCTAAATTACTCATCTTCTCGGGTGGGGTCAACCATTCTTACATTAGCTAGATTCTTATGTTCCCACAATCTGACAATCCCCCAATCTACTAGTTTGACCTACGTATGTAGTTGACCAAACTCACAGTCATTGCAGGGTATTTTGTAAATGATATTATTTTGTCTAATTGGGTCAACCTACAGGGTCCTTTAACTTAACCTACAGAGCTTGTCCTACCTGAGTGAGTTTGTAGGTTGGAATGCCACCACCAGCCTAATTCCTGCTTTATTGAGAATCCTACGTAGGGAGTGAGTGTCTCAGATATCCCCTCCTTATATGGTATAACAGTGGATGACTTATATTCTCTCTTATTTATGTTATCAATACTAGTTTCACAATTATTTTTATTTCGCTTTTCACCTTTACTGATCTTCCTAATGAATTTTATAGGATAGTTAGTTATTTAACACCACCTCTTACTGTTCTAATTTTTTTTGTCTTTTCTCATTTTCTTATTTGCAGTTTGGATTCATATGATGACCGACTGGTTAGCCATTCTCATCGATCAGGATTCTTGGAGTCCCACAATAATAATAAACTCAATCCATCCGATATTGAACATGATCCGTCAGATAATTTTGTTGAAGAAGATTATATCACTGAATCACCTATGCAGAGTCCCGCTATACGTCCACGTCTAGATGACAGTTTCTTTCTTCAGCATGGATCACCATCGTCAAATGAATATGACATTGTGAAACACCGTGAACGTCGTCGAAAGCATCTTGGTCTGCCTCTACTGAAACCAAATCATGTCGGAATCTTATCGCATACCGTATTCATCGGACATTTACATAAACAAATGGCAGAGAGTCGACTTCGAACACTATGTTCCGAAATAACTGAAGGTCAGGTGGTTGAATGTAATTTCATTCCCCCAAGAGGTTGTGCATTTGTTACTTTCGCCACTCGACGTGCTGCACATCGTGCAGTCTGTCAAATGGATCGATCAACTATGAACGGTCGACAGGTGAAAGTCGCTTGGGCACCAAATCTTGGCATCAAGTCGAACGAAGTGTATCTGGCGAATTATTGGGATACAGAGCAAGGCTGCACATATTTACCTGTGAAGGAGGTTCTCAAACTTACACATTCTCAGTTTGGTGATCTTTTAGATGGTTGTGCAGAAGTGGATGAAGAATCATTGGTTGATGCAAGAGTTAGAAGTTTTATCAGGAATACCATTAGGGCTAGTGATAATATTAAAACTGAAAAAATATCCTTGAGTAGTTCTCCAGATGGAAAGTTGGCTAAGAAATCACAAACTGCAACTGCCCAGAATACATCATCACGATCAACGTTTCCACCTGTCGTGTCTCCCGTGGCAGTTGTTGTCAGCTCAAATGTTGCTTCAGTTTCTTCAATGACACCTGTTGTTGTTACTCAAACTGTACCGATGATGTTATCGTTAGTACGAGGTGAGTCTAGAATTATATTATATATCCTTCACATTTATATACACCAACAAATCCAGTATGTAAAGGTTGCTGCGCTGCGTATGCCTAACCATCGCCTCCCCCTCCCGACGGGCATTACTAGCTGATATAGGTATTATTATTATTCCCTTGGGGTCCTAGTGGAACATAGGGCTTCAACTGCACGCCTCCACTTGTTTCTGTCTTCTGCTGTACTTTTCACCTGCATCCTTGTCAGTCCATACTGTTTCAATTCCTCTTTACACGATCTCCTCCATGTCACCGTTGGACGTCTCACTACTCGCCGCTTCCCTTTCGGGTTGCACTCGAGCGATGGCCTGACATGCGATGACACCCAGCGAGTGGCCTCCTCAGCGAGTGTCCAATCCATCTCCACTTTCTTGTTGGTGATTCTTTCTGGTCATCTGATCTTCAGTATAGAACGAAGACCGCTGTTGATAAAGGTCTGCAACAGACTGTTGGAAATATTCTTTGTGATCCGCCAAGTTTCTCATCCATACGTATAGAAGAACTGACTGACTTGACGTTTGTATTGAAAATCCGAATCATTTTGTTGTTGAGTGTTGCTGAGTGACGAAGATTTCCAGATTGGTTTTTTAAGGTTGATGAATGTGTTTCTCGCCTTCCCGATTCTTGATTTGACATCCTCGTCGGTTCCTCCTTTAGTTGAGACAGTGCTCCCTAGCTAGATAAGTGAATGAAGTAACCTCTTTCAAATCCCTCCCGTTGATGGTGATTGGCGGCGCTGGATGTTGCTGCTGCTGTTGTTGTTGTTGTTGGTTGGTTGGTTATTTTCATAACCTCCGTCTTGTCTATGTTCACCTGGAGTCCTGTCTTTACTGCTGCTTCGTCTAGATTACTAGCCGGTCCCATGCCCGGATAAAGAGGGAGGGTTGGGGCATGGTGCGTCGACAGGAGCATGATTCCTCACCAGTTCTTGCATAGTATATGCGTAGATATATATATATATATTTATACTTCTGTGGTTGAATATCCCCTGTAATCGTCTAATCACTTTTCGTTTTCTGGTTTACCACCTTTCAAAATTGCCAAGAAGCAGTAAGTAACTCAATGGTACACATTTTGTTTTTAGTGAGAAGTTGTGTGTGACCAGAGGGTTCGTCAAGTAAGGTATGGTAAGAGGACAGTTTCCTCTCCAATGACATTGACCAGCGGTTGAGTTATGTATCAGAAAAATTGACATATAATTTGTAATTCATGGCTTGTTGGTTGGATCGTGTCGTGTCCCAGTGGCTGAGTGAGTAGTGGTGCTGGCCTAAGAACTTGCCGCCGTGTACTCGGAATATATCTCCTGAATTCGAGTCCCGGTAGTGTTGCCTTACTGCTGTAGAGCCGATTTTTTTTGATTTTCTGTTTTTTAAAATTTACATGCATATACATCTGTCTTTTCATATGAATATTTTTTTTATAGCACCTGTCATACGGATGCCGGTTCCTGTACAGCCTTTGTATTTCCCACGTCTGAACAGCGCCACAACACCCAGAGCACCGCCTCCACCACCACCACCTCCTCCGCCGCCGCCACCACCGCCTCCTCCACCTCCACCTCCACCACCCCCTCCACCGCCGCCGCCACCGCCACCATCATCAACACCACCCGCACCACCACCAGCGTCCCTTGATGCTACAACTACAACTACCATTACCACAACTAATGTCTCATCTGTCCTCCAGTCTCAAACTTCACACGCATCGCAGCAGCAGCACCATCAGTGTAATCCTGGAAATGATGCTGCTGCAGCTGCTGATGATGTTCATGATGCAAGTAATAATCATCCACAAGAAGAAGATTTCCGCCGTCTTCGTCAGCAACATCATCATCAACAACGACAACAGCAACATCAACAGCAACGTATTCAGAATAATGAATTATCAAACTCTGATGTTACTGTTACTGTTCCTGCCTTCAGACAAACTCGACCGCCATTATTACGATATACACCTGTTGCAGCATGTGAGTTTAACAACTTTCTTGTAAATGCAGTAGTAGTAGGGATAGTGTTAGATACAAATTGTGTGTGGGATTTCCATCACACTTGTGTTGCAGTACAATATATTGTATGTATGTATGTAATTTTCGCCTTACACTTAGATATGATGGAGAAGATTTGTAGCTCAGGTGTATTAGTTTTTAATGTGGTGTTATGTTCTTTCTCTGAGCGAGCAACTGGATAGTTAGTTAATTTGTGAAGCTTTGGTCATCGCCCTACTCCTACTAGGCAAGCAGGCAACATCTTCCCCTTCAGTGCATACTTCACTTCAATTTGAATTTTGTTGAAGTGAGCTTTAAAATTTCTCCTCCATGAGTTCACCATTAATCATTTCTCCTGGTCGGTGACCACCTTGAACTTGACGTGATTGGTTGTTTCTGTGTGTTTTCATGCCCTCTAGGTGGCTACTTGTATTGGAACTGGTATTGTTTCTTTGACTTGAACTTTTACCCTTTGAGTGTGTATTTGTGTGTGTGTGAGGTTTCCTTCTTATCGGTTGATAAATTTTGTCTATCTCTCGATGTCTCTATTGACTGATGATTCACTGAAATGCCAGACGAGCTTCTAAAAATTCTCTGACTTGCATTCTTGGTGTTGTTTCCTCTGTCTAATATTTGAACGATTGGCATAGAACCAATCAACCGAAAGACTCAACAACGAAAGAAGACAAAACTAACACCATCTACAAAATAAAAATTGTAACAACTGCGGAAAACACTACATTGGCCAATGCGGACATCCCTGCTCTCCGTCTTCGTATCCACGAACATAAGCTGGCCGTCAAAAGACATGACATCTACTCCCTCACTCATATCGCCTCACTGCATACATACAACCACGAACATCAATTCGACTGGGACAACCAAACCAACGTTCAAATATTAGACAGAGGAAACAACACCAAGAATGCTAGCCAGAGAATTTTTAGAAGCCTACCTGGTATTCCAGTGAATCATCAATCAATAGATAGACACATCAAGATAGACAAAGTTTACCGGCCGATAAGAAAGAAACCTCACACACACACACACAAAAAGGGTCAAGGTTCAAATCAAAGAAACAATCAGTTCCAATACAAGTAGACTAGAAGGTGTGAAAACACACAAAAACAATCAATCACGTCCCAAGGTGGTCACCGACCAGGAGAGGTGAATAATGAGGAACTCGTGGAGGAGAAATTTAAAAGCTCACTTCAACAATTGAAATTGAAGTTAGAGAATCATTGGAAAACCAGCCACAGCGAGTAGTAGTACTAGACAGCCAGCTGTTTCGTCAGTCTAGTTTGGGACCGGCTATTATTTAGCAGTACGCACCCACCGCCAGTGGTCGTACTCATGACCCACCCTGGTTACAAGGCGAGCTAGCTAGCTGGTCGCGCTATGTCGTGCGTGAATTGGCAGAAGTTAGAATTCATGCACTGGCTGACTGGCCATTGGATCGAATCAGGTGCCAGTGGCTCAATGGTCTACGAGCTAGCTCGCCAGTCTTGTAACCAGAAGGTCCTGGGTTCGAACATTGCTGGGGGGTGCATGCTGTGAGGAGTCCGAAACTTGGCAGTGGTTCTCTAACTGATGTCATCTCATGATGAAATCCTCCATGCAATCAAACAAAATACCTACAAAATCAATTCTTCAAAATTGGAAATTAACAAATAGTTTAATTAGAGACTGAATGATACCAGACTGTCTTAAACCTTCTTCTGTAGGACGTTAATCGAAATATCTTTTTAGAGAGAGATAAATATGCTCTAGGAAGGTCGGCAAAAAAAATCAGCGGAAAGACGTATAATCCGAGGTATTTTAACATTCGACTTAGCTTCAACTGCAAGGCCTCACGTAATATAGAGGAATCATGGGAACGAATGAATTTCTACAGATCACATTTGCTTCTAAAAGTGAAATTCACGAACTGACATTTATAAAACACAAAATATAATTCAGCCAGCAAAGAATATCCTTTTCAATAAATTCCTCCTCCTCTGGCTCTAAAATTATATACTAAAACATGCATGTTTATATTCATAGAATATTCTAGATTAGTAGTCAATAACAATATTAGTGTGTGCTTTTTAAATAGTAATATCGATTTGTAAAGTAAGATCACAATGGAATCACCACAGTTCATTAAAGATGCTTAAATTATGGTAATAATAATAACAAAGATATAGTAGCAAATAGAATATCAACTAAAATTAGGAAATTCCACAAAAGTTCAGGATCGATCATCCAAAACTAGATGGCCAAACGAGTGAGGATACTGTCTGAACTAACCAACTTCTTTTGGATGCACAAAATAAGTTCGTTAATATGGATCCCAACAGCCAGCCAGCCAGCCTCAGCAATGTATTTAGTAGTCGAACTCTTAAGGCGAAATTGAGATTTTTTAGTTGGTATGCGGTAAACGACCCTGAAAGCCGCCGCCTTGTTAACATCAATCAGTCTTGTGTCCTGACATTTGCAGGGACATTTAGCTTAAGGACATTCGACATGGATCACTGACACTAATCTCTGATAAAAAGGGGAGAGCCCAATGAATATACATATATTCAGCACCTTTTTGTCTATACTGTAGGAAATATGATGCTGTAAAACTATTGCAACATTTAAAGTAAGTACATCTACTCTGTTTGTGAACAAATAGGGAGGTGTATGTAAAAGTTGATATATATTTACTTCACACCGGGGTTCAATCGACGAGGCTGTGAAGCAGTTACACCGAATGAGATGGTTAGGACATGTGTTACGTATGCATGACTAGTCATCGCCTTCCTCGACAATGGGCAATGTTAGCTGATATAGGGCCAGGCTGGAAAAGAGCTAGCGTGGTCAAGCGAAACATGGCTTCACCAGTCAATGAAATCCACAACAGTTAGTCTAAGCTACGTAGGAAGGTGTAGACCGGCTTCCTGACTGGTTGGGGTCCTCGGGATGACGGTAAAAACCAGTGAAGGCCGGAGACGATTGGTGACATGGTTCAAAATCGTTCTCAATGCATAACGTAGATGCATCCACTCCTTGTGACTTATTATTTCCAATGAAACTACACTTTTCTTCCTTATTACTATTCCTATGTCTCACACCTCTGTTTACTGTCTATATTATGCATTTCTTCCACTTTCTTCTCTGGCTTTGTGTGCTATATGGAGTGTGGCGACTTGAACTGCCGCACATATGTGGAAAGTTCTATGGCGAAAACGGATCGACCGACCGAATAATTTAGACAAAGCCAACTTAAATGTCTTTGCATAAAGCAGACACTATATATATATATATATATAATATATATATATATATATATATATATACATAGATTGATGCACTGAAAATATCACTGTGAAAGGGGATGACACAAGATATCCGCACACTTTCTGGAGATAGTAGTAAGTAGTGTGCACACCATCTGGAGACTCCAGAGATTGGGCAGTTTTGAAACACTGTAGACATTTGGGAACATGATATTAGTTTGTTTATTAGATGGATGTATCACACACAGTCAGTTAGTGAGTGAAATAGTATTAGTATTTACTGGATGACAAAGTTGTTTCGAACACAATTCATCATTATTGTTGTTCATAATCATACACATCACCAATTATAATCACACGACTTCGAAACTTGACTTTTTTATGTTTCTTTTGTTCTCTCCTATTTGTCGTCGTCATTGCGGTAGTAGAATTTTCCAGATATTGGGGTGGACAGGTGTTCAATCATTCCTATTACACGTATTCTCTCTCAGTTGATTCGATAAACAAAGCGTCCGTTGTTATCAATCTTCCCCACTCGCCACCCTGTTAGGTCGCCAGTGACCACCCTGTTAGCTGTATTAGATTTTAAAACTGTCATCTTATCCCATCCAGCCTATTGTATGTTTGGGTGTGTGTAATTGCATGTAGTGCTTACGATAGCTGCTGAACTATTCTCTAGATTTCTTATCTTATTCAGGTCAACCAATCTAGATTTTGCTGCTAGAGTTTTATGCTGCTCGGCTAGTCTGACTCACTGACTGACCCTGTTCTACTACTTTGACCTGTGTATTTGACCTGACAATCATCTCAGGCAGCGTATGAGATAAACTAAATTGTTTAGTCGGTTAAAGGCTCCACAGCATTGATCTTTTAACCGACAAAGCTTGTTTCTAATTGAGTTTGTGGTTGGTTTGAATTCCAGCACACTTTTATTCCTGCCTGCCTTGTTAAGAATTCTCCGCTGTAAGGTGGTTTCCTAGGTTCCTTCCTTGTATGGAATTACTACTGATGATTTAGATTTCTTATTGTTAGTGTTGTCTTGCTCACGGTCAGTCTGACTAGCCGAGCACAAAAACGTAGCAGCAAAATCTAGATTAGTTGACCTGAATAAGATAAGATAAGATACCTTTGTTTATATACATATATATATATACGCAACTCTGTTTTTTTTCGTTTCCAAGCCCAATTGTCTAATTATTCTATAAATAGTCAGTGTGTCTGTAACTCTTAATTAGTTAAATCATTCCCGACTAATGTTACTTTTACACTTTCTACCAACCAATTACTCCTTGTGATCATGGAAAAGTATGTTCAAATTTTCACAATGTAATTCATATATTGTTTTTATCGTTCAGGTTGTAACCAGTAGAGAAGAATCCTCGAAATAATTTTTTTTTCTATATCATCAGTAGTAATTCCATACAAGAAAGGAACCTTGGAAACCACCTTACAGCGGAGAATTCTTAACAAGGCAGACAAGAATAAAAGTGGCTGCTGGAATTCAAACCAACCACAAACTCAATTAGAAAAAAGCTTTGTCGGTTAAAAGATCAATGCTGTGGAGCCTTTAACCGACTAAACAATTTAGTTTATCTCATACGCTGCCTGAGATGATTGTCAGGTCAAATATATAGGTCAAAGTAGTGGAACAGGAGCAATCAGACTAGCTGAACATAAAAGCTTAGCAAAATCTAGATTGGTTGACCGAAATAGGTAAGA